CAGCAAGGCCGGTGAATGGGTGAGTTGAGCAAAGGGGTGGCAGAGCAAATAAAGCAAAAAGTAGGACAAGGATGGGTTTTTAGTGTAGGTTTTTGAGAAGATAATTTACAGGCCACCAGGTGGTGGTTCGCCGAACTCAAGGAATTTGGGGTTGGGACAAACTTTCTAACCAGCGATATGTGGAACCGTCGAGGAAAGCAAATTGGACATTATACTCAGGTTTTTTCGTCTGAAACTCGCCAGTGATTGATTCTATTATATAATTCTCACTACAACTACGATAGGTGAAGCTGGAGGTTTCCGATATGAAGGGGTGTGAAGGGGGTCTGAGGGATCTATGGCTTGTAGGTGGTGCCAAAATTGAACGGGGTCGGCGGCGCAGCTATGAACCATCCATCACCACCACGAGGAAAACTCGGCTCAATTTGTAACATAAAATACACCCAAATACTAATTATTCCCAAAATGAGAGGGCCCGAGCAATAAGAGAATTCAAGTTTCTACCTCCTGGTGTCCAACATCCTATAACTCACCCAAAGCATCAGTCCTTTTCCATCGTACTGAAAAATGGTTAAAAAATATCTGTTCTTCACCTATAACCCCTTATTTGAAACTTTGACATATCAGTGAAAGGTACACGTCGGCGATTATTCGTAGTGTTACACCTATATTACTTTTTAGTTGATTCGGAAAAACGTGAAGGATGGCAGAGCCATAATGCTGGCTATGGCTTCAATCCCTACATCATAACCCAGAACAGAGTTTTACCCATAACATCACGCATCATATACTTTAACATGCAAAAAATCTGATTTCAAGTGCGAGGAGAAATTCTTCAAAAAAAACCTACTAGTTCTCGCCATTTTCCTTCATCCTAAAGATTCCAGTTTTCCTATAAGATATTCGTAAAAAGATCCGTGTTCTATGTATTTGGTATGATAGGGCTGTCCCATTTTCGCTTCACTTCCTATTTGCACATTCATTCCTCATGGAAATGAAACTGCGGAGAGGTGTGTTGCTCTCGTGAAATGCAAATCCTTTCTCCAGGGATGAAAACTGTAGCATAAGCAAGATACCTGCTTAATCTCTTAAGATTCCACTATCTGAGGTTACCACTGTGTGAGACATTGAGTGCTAACGGTGCAGTCCTTCAATTTTCCAACCTTTTCATTCCTTGGAATTCGGTTCTCCAATCACATTTCGCAATCGATGAGCCACTCTCTGCGGCCGACTCTCACATTTCCAGCATGGTCGCAATTTTTACGTTCACATTTATTCACAGCGAGCGATTGCCTTCCCCTCGCTTTAATGAAGGGGCCTGCCGGATTCGCGTCCAAAGTGAAGGAGTGGTAAGCCTTGACCCGGACTATCGCACCTACTCATGCAACACTGTGCCAAAAATAGCGACTTTTGAGAGTCTCAACATCCCTTGCTGAAAAATGTAATGTCGTGCCTAAAAAACGGCATTCCAGTAAGAAAAACTAATTATTATTATGTATTTTTTATTAATATATTTATTTATTTATTTACAGATGGTCTGGGGAGAAACGGATAAAATTGGTTGCGGTGTTCAACACTGTTATGGAGACAGGGGAGATCGAAAGAGACAGACTTTGGTAGTGTGTCACTACGCGAAGGGGTAATGTTAATGTCCATCCCTCATTTCTGTTACGATTTCGAAGCTTTGCATAAAATTCATTTTCTTCAGCGGAAACATAATGGATCATCTGATCTATGAAGCAGGAGCACCATGCACTAAATGTCCATACGGATACAGATGCACCGAGGATATGCTCTGCGCTCGCAGATGAGTCTACGTTTTCGGCACAATAAAGTTTCGTTCAGCTTGCTGTTTTATAACAATTATCATCAAACTAGTTCGTGATTTCATGAATAAGCATTTCTAAGCAATAACTGCAGGTGGCCAAGTATGGGCGCCTCATTTGGCGTTGTTATTTTTTTATTTTCGACTTTAATCACGGCTTTTGTTTTACATTCATTAGAAACGCGATAAAATCCTCTCTCTTCTTATCTGTAGCTCACTTTGATTTCTGAAGTCGTGCGGACGTACCCGCACCGCGAATCCATTGTACTCCTCGCGCAGTCTGGAGAGTACACTAAGGACAGTACACAGGAAAGAGAACTTCAAAACTCCTTTGCGAACAGAGCAGCAGATTATCAAACTATGGGCGTTGAAGGGAATATCAAACTGAAAAGAAAACCAGGCCGTACTCAATCGGTGAACACAAGGAGGATTCCTGTGATCATTTGAAAGAGGATCACCTGAAATGGAGGAGTGAGCGCAAACAAAGTGGCAAAAAGTCTGAGTGTTGCATGTTTTTCCGTTTGAGTAATTGTCACAAGGAAGCTGAGACTTTGCCGCTATTGTATTTCTAAGGCACAACATCTAACCATTGCCGCCACAGTTAACAGGCTTGAGGAATGCAAGAGCGTCTGACAAGTGCGCCGCACCCAGGGTGCTTTACAGGCTGACGAGAAAGTTTTCCCTATATGGGTTGTTCACGGCCCCTAAACAAACAACCAGTCTATCAAGCGAAGTGAGCAATATTCTTCAGAAAAGAGATTTGTGACAAGGTTGTTGTATACCGGCGCTGTGTGGCGCTCGCAGATGAGTCTACATTCCCAATATAATAAAGATTTTGTCAACATTTCATTTCAAAGCAAATTCCATTGAGTCATCCATTGCTTACATATTTTTTATTTATTTTTACGTGGTTGTGCCCCGCTAATTTGGAGGTACACTCTAAATGATGCGAGCACAGTGTTTAAAAAGACATCGAAGTGCTGACAGTAAATGCCTGGGGTGGAAGTGACTCGGCAATGCTCTCGGCGGTAGGACTGCCTCTATGAGATGTGGTGTTGAGATAGGAGATGAAGAACGAAACAGCGACAGCAATAGTGACGACAATAGAAACGCGAAGTGATTGATTTCCCCAAAAAGATCCTCAACGGACAAGAAAGCAAAAATAATGCCGGGGGGTGTGTAGCTGTTTATCCGCAAAGGGATACCGCCGTTTCACACCTGCAAAGGTCAAGAGGTCAGTCCGGATAAACAGCTACACTATGGAGCTGTTTATCCGAATATGGCCCCGAACCAAGATATGTCATTTTTAATGCTGATTCTCAAGAATTACCTTTCTCGAGTTATTTTTGACCACCATGGGGAATTCGAAGGAAAATTTTCATTTGGCATGTTTCAGTGTTTTACACCATATAATAGGTTGGAAGAAATCTTTAATCTGGGCTGCATCTTCAACGAAAACTTGTTTTCAAAAATAAATAAATACTTTTCACGCAATATATCTTTATATCTGCGTAGACTATTAGGAAGTAGATTTCTCAGCGACATTTTTAGGTAGGTTCCGATAGATCGTGAAGTGACCATGCCCTCATTCATAACCTCGACGAAGTCATCCAATGCAATTGTTATCTCGGGGTATACTACCTGGTCACTGTGTCCTAATTGCAATTTTTCGAGTCGACTGACTCCACAAGGGGCACATAATCTCACACAATAATAGGTATCAGATATACAAGCCGTTCCCTAACAGATGGCTTCATTTCTTTTTTGTTTTTAATAGGAACTACCGACTTATAATAGTTCTTTCCGGCACTGTAGCTGTTTATCCGAAGATGTAGCTGTTTATCCAGTGATGGAGCGGTTTATCCGCTGATGGAAAGGTTTATCCGGTAGTGTAGCAGTTTATCCGAAATAGGCCACACCCCCAGCGGATAAACAGCTCGCCCCCCACAAAATCGATCGACGACGCAGTGGAAGTGAGGATGAACCTAAGCTATGCAAGAACGGGATCCAGTTGAAAAAACAGCAAAAGAAAACGGCCTGCTCGAAGTCACTGGGCCGTGCAGTACTCGCAGTCGTCCGAACTGAACTCTGACTCAAAATCGTTGTCGTCCACCATTTTGGCGCCTAAAAATTTTCAAAACGAGCGCGAGCGTAATATCGATTTGGCGTGATCGCCTTCCTTACCGACCTTACAATTGAATACTACCACAACATAACAACAAGCTACGACTGCGTTTCCGGGAAGGCAATAGACCGAATTTTTATCAATACCTACGCAAAAACTATTGTAGGAACACCAAACGATGAAACAGTAGCTGATCGGAAGTCTCACATGCAAAAGGAATGTTTGGTTAGCTTTCCCATGTTTCCCTTGTATAATGAAAGATGAGCATCGTAAGATACTAAGCCTCTTTTCCATGTGTCGATTTTTAATAACGCAAATAAGAAGGGCTCAGGCAGGAATTACCATGAGAAGATCTTTCGATATGAACGATGATGCTCTATTTCAAGGGGCTTCGGAAAGAATGATTGAGGAAAAGTATTAAGCAGCTATCTCACGACAACCTACTCAACTGTAAGGGAAATTGCTGATCGCTGGTTTCAGATTTGCGCATGTGCACAAATTTCAAACAAAAACCTTTTTCTACACATGCATGAGCATTCAAACATTCTCACAATGATTACACCTTCTAGCTTCCAGGGATGGGATGTCTAGGAATTGAAATTTAATAAGCTGGAACTGGTGCTCTCAATTCACCAAGATCTTTTCCTGGAGTAATTGCAGCGCGCTCGGGATGACCCATGCGAGAAAGAAATAATTTAGACTTGAGAACCTTGTATGCGAACTCCAGAAGTCAGAAACAGTAATGGCCACTTTCAGAGCAGCGTAACATATTAACGATTTAACGAAAAACCTGGAAAATCCGTCAAAGTTCATGTCTTCAAAGAGTCAGAAATTCGTTGGGAATGGCTTCAACGATGACACGAAGGCTCGTCATATTCTTCTATAGAATACTCGTACATTTTTTGAACATACACCGAATGCCTCAGGAGGAGATTCTTTCACTAAGCTCAAGTGGTAGTGAGTTGCGAGGACGAGCTTAAGACTGCTGCGAACGTACCCACCTAATCAAAATAGATGGCTTGTGGTTCAGTTTTTGCTCGTAACCTCCACATTGCCCTCCCGGATACCCCGAGAAGGCGATCCAAAAATTCAGATTTTCGACACAACCAGTAGTGGTAGGTCGGACGCCAGCAGTACCTTGAGATAGTGGGTCAAAACCGAAGGATACCGTCAGGAAAGCAGTCTGCTCACTCTAACTCCCTGGTAACTCGTACATTCTGCGGCTGGAAGTGTCCTTTCTTTCGCTAGAGGGTTAGCAGAGAAAACTGCGAACCAGTAGGAAACATTTGGTCATCGGGAAAAGTAGATGCTGAATTCGGAAATGTTCGGCATAGACAAATATGGCTTAGGAGATTCATTTTGCTATAACTTGCAGGCATTCCAGCAGCAAACATTGGGACATGGGTTAAACAAAATAAATTTCGGAATGTTCACTCAAATTTGAAGGGATCCTATTCCAAGCACTAAATGAGTTGTGTTGAGCCATTTAAGCTGGTCAATTGAACTCCAAAAGCCGAATTCGGCTATTTTGGACAATTCGGAATCCATGAGTATATGTATGTGCTGGACGAGTACAACTACAACGAGAATGTACATCTAAATTGGTAGTGGTAGCTTATTTCAGCTTCATTTTTCAATGGCATGTGACTCAAAGGAAGGGAAGGTTCGTGCTGGAAATTCAGACAAATAAATAAAGAAGTGAACGCAGGAGCCTTACCGTGCTCCTATCCCTAACCATATAAAATCCCTCGTACTTTGTATATATTCGCGCCTGCACCGACGCGATTCTACACTGGAGAATCAGCTGACGCAGAAAAAATCGCTGCGATTTCCTTGCAGTGCAAAAAAGTGGGAATTGCGGGTCTGCAAATGTATTTCCTTCATTCTCGTTCCTATTTTATCATTATGGTTCTGTTAATGTCTTTAGCGATTGTTCTGAAATAGTATTGTTATTTTTATTTTTAGCGGAAAGCAACAAATAGGATTGTGATTGCACATTATTTAATATTTCTGTGGACAGGCTTCTTGTGGTATTTCTTTCTCTGAAATTTCTCCGAATACTGCTTCACTTCCTTCATTTCCCGACTGAATGTCCCAAAGTTCTCGGTTAGTAGAGCCCATGCGGCAAGTGGATTGAAAGACACAATGATCTGCCTTCTTAGGCTTTTTTTGTGATTCTTCCGATGCCAGGTCCAAATTTTGCGGTCGTCAACACTCCAATTTACTTATTTATTTGTGAATCATTTGTTTAAATTCTTAAAGTACTAAGAACAGAGAAATATAGCTGCACGCGTGCCATGCGTCCCGTAATCATTCGAGTAGAAGCCCCAGCTGCAACTGTTCCCATTTGCTGCCATCCTCCCCTCACTAGCTGCTCAAGCTTTCGTCCCTTTAACAGCAATTGCTGAGGGATGGCAGCAATTGAGGGGAGGATGGAAACAACTACAGGAGGATGGCAACAACTGAAACAGCGCAGAACAAATTCACTCGGCCGTAAAACCACTTGTTTTGGTCACGTAGTTGGATTTCAATGTACTGCTAATTACTGTTTCATAATGCAGAGATTTATTAAAAAATAATGAGGCAACACATGGAACACCGAAGAAGCGGCTGCATTTCAGGAATATAGCAAAAATCAGCATTTTCCGGAATGGAACTCATCATTGTTCTAGTGGCGGTGAGTTACGCAGTCCTGAAATTTCCAACTTATGTGACCGCTGGCTGAGAAGTAATTTCGTTCAGGTTACTTTTGCTGCCTGTGATCGCGCACAATGTAAGTACAAGTTACACATTTTTCTGTATTCCTTAGCTGAAGACATAAAATAACCGGCTAATTAAGCCTACGGATGCATGCTCGATAACAATTCTCGCAAGCAATTCTTGGATTTTCATAACCAAAAACGCGAGGCTCTGGCCAAAGGTCTTGTACCCGGATTTTCATCGGCAAGAAACATGTACAAATTGGTGGGTTCATAAAACATATCAAAAAGAACAGTGATGAAATCAACATATTATGGGTCGAATAAAAAGCGAATAAATCAATTAATGCACTGCAAGTATCCACAAAGGCGCATATCTGCCTTGCGGCGCCGCGCGCTTTCGTGGAATTTTGCTTTACGAATCCAAATCCAGCTGAACAGCAGCTGAAGCGGCCTGGTTTATGCGTTTGATCTGCTCCAAAATACCAAGGGCTCGTGAGTTCTCTTTAGTTCTAAGTGCAGATGAGACCATGGAAAATGCTCCGTGAGCGTAGCGTCAATCCATTCTTTACAAAGACGTCCGGAAAGAGCAGCTTATACCATACTCAACGCAAAGTGTGCGTGACATTACGTGGAACTTAGTCAACCGTACCTCGTCACTTCAAGGAAGTAGATGAGGACAAGAAGATGAATAGATGGATTTTGTGTGATCTGAACGAAGAACATTGACGAATCCACCTGCAAGTCTGTAGATATTTGAACTGGAAGTATCCTAACAATCCGTTTCTTGAATTTGAGGGGATCCCAGGACTTAGACCCCAACAACCCACCTAAAAGTGGGCAGATCATAGCTACACCTTTTGAAAAGTTCTTTGATGTTTTGTGGGCGGAGTCATCAGCAACGATTTCGTTCTAAACGGATAACAATAACCGAAGAATACTGCACTCCTTTGTGGAAAATAACCAGGAGAAAACTCTTAAATATGAGGCCAACACAGAAAAGGACAAGGAGGTGGACACGTATGCTTCCAAATTTTAACCGACCCGTATTAGTCTCTGGACCTGTCTCCAGTAGATTGACCCTACATGGAAATGTTGCCTGCTCATTCTCAGAGTATGAACCTGTCAAATTTCTTCTAGAAAAGCCTTTTTTGAGTGTTGTGTTGGCAATATTACATGGATTCCAATGATTTTTGATATGAATAAAAATACTGACTTTGGGCGAAGTTATGGTGCTTTAAAAAATTAGGTGCCATTGCCCAGGAACCCACCTAATAAACCAAACACGATCTTGCACTGTGGGGACAACAGTACACGTCGAGAAAAAAGCGAAAATGTGATCCTACTGAGAAAATTGAAACACTGTTCAGTTGTTCTGGTTTGGTTTAAACGAACATGTGGATGAATAGTTCACCCTTCTCTATGAAGAAGAACAATGTTCACGGGGTTAGATAGAATAAAAATAAAAAAATTCAATGGACAAGTTCAACCATTCGCGACTAATCTTACAAATCGAGACCTGTTCGCCTAACACAAGTAACGAGACTTTTAAGAGCTGGAGCTGTGAATTGGAGAGCAAAGCCCGACAAAAAATCCAGTTCTGCCCGCGCACAGTGCGGGGGCTAGGTTCAACTGGTGTCAATTTCTGGTGGAGGTGAGTTGATATATGTGATCAACACATCACGAAAACATTGCTGTCCTATACTTGTCAGTTCAGTTATGGAGGAGGGTATGATCAGCCTCAGCAATTTATTCACTATGCTCTAAACGAGTGGTGGAAAAATGCGCAACAATACCGCTTAGATCCAGACAACCGAATCCCTCGTCATGGTCAACTCAACAACGTTGCGAACGTGAGTAAGCAGAGCTAGTTTCGTATGTTAACGAAGGGGTATAATGATGCAGTGAATATTCAAGAAATTTAACGCAAATACATTCCAAGTCAATTGTGCGCAACTCTAGTTAGTACAGTGGACGTCGATGGCGATGGTCCATCCGTGGCCTCGAGAAAGACGCCGCGCCGCGGGCGCTGGAGATGGTATCGTTTGCCGTCGGAATGCTATTTCTAGGCGCTTTCCTTTCCGATTTGGTCGAAAATCTATAAAATCGGATAGAAAACTGAAGAAATGGCGTAGCAGCAGCGGAAGACATCGGTTCCGGCGCGTGCGGCGCGATTGCGCGGCGTCCATCTCGAGGCCGCGGATGGGCCACCGCCATCTACGTCCACTATAAATTATTTGGAGTACAAATGAATTTTGAGTTATTTACAAAAGGTGATGTAACTAGCGTTGAGTCGTATGAAACCACTATGTATGTAGCTAGTACATTTGTGTCATATCATGATGGGAATATCAACATAATCCGGTACTACTCGACGAGCTAATTCTAATGATGTGTTTGGGATCTGAAAAACTGTCCAAAACCTCATTTTGTAGCCAAATTTGACATTGGTGCGGATGAGTTACCTTGCTAGAAAACTAGGAAAAACGGAGGAATAGTTAGGCTCGTACATTAAGATGAACCTTTGAGCAGTAGCTATTATCGACTGAGCAAGTACTCTTCGAAAAACATGCCGTTCCCTCAGGAAGCTTTTGCTGAGCCTTGCACGAATTTTTCGATTACTTTGTCTAGCATCAACTCACAGTTGTCGCAGAGCTTCAACATAATTCATGAATGTTACAAATGTGAGGGAATCTGTTCCAAAAGCCAACATATTTTCGATCTGCCTATATTCATGCTTCAAAGATCACCAAAAACTTTCCTGCAATTTCTCTTCTAGTTTCCCTCTATTTTCCTTGTAAAACGGCTCTATATCTTCTCATCATGCTTTAACACAATAATGCATTTTCATCAACCGCGAATTTTATTCTGGCCTCAGATCATTAATGGAGAAACTACGCAACTTGGGTGCACATACAATGTGTGTGGCAATACAATGGTGGCGATAATGTGCTTATACGATGAAGTGTAAGTGATTTACACCCCAAAAGCTCAACGAAAAGTGTCATTTATATTTTATTCAGGGGTCCCCGATTTGACAGAGCTCTGTACGACATCGGAAGACCCTGCAGAATGTCGGAGGAATGCAAGACATACAGGAGATCGACGTGCGATGCTGCAACTGGACTCTGTATGAAACCGCAGGAACCACGTGGTACGTGTGAATCAGCTACAGAATTACCTTTGTTTGCAAGGAAAAATGGATGATATCGAATTCGACAGTACACCGATAGCCGCCTTGCTACGCGCTCAAATGCAACTCTCAGCTATAGGAGACTTCAATGTTGTTCAGCTCACCGTATCACGGGCGTCTTGGCTCTATGATTGGCTGCGCATCCCCACATCCTGTTGATGTCGTTCTCAATCTCTTTTAATCAAGTGATATAATGCGGTGTGCGGGTTTCATACGTGTTCGGTGTGATACTCGACAATGTCGCCTTAGTCACCTTTTTAAGAAAAG